ATTGTGTCCTGACAGCGTGGGGAGGGCGGGGGGTAAAGGGGGATGGCTGGGGCTGGGGGGTAAAAGGAAGGTCTTTCTAAGAACCGTACAGGGAAATAGGGAAGCGGGAGTAACAAGGATGTGGAGGAGAAATGGGATCTGGGGGACAGGGGGGATGTGGAGGAGAAGTGGGATCTGGGGCATGGTGGGGATGTGGGTGGAGGTGAAGGACCGAAGCAAAGTGGACAGCAAGCGACTCCCAGCCAGTTTTAACCACGAGTTAATTATAGCCTTGTGCTATAATTAATGCCCAGGAAATACTCTGGAATCAGCAGCACCAGTCAGTGGTTCAGGGGTATTTCTTACCAGTAGCATGCAGAAAACCCACCTGGCTGATGCAAAGGTTGGTTGTTTCCACAGCCCACGACTGGTGTCCTGTACAAAGAGGACAATTACATCATCATGACCACTGTGGATAAAGAGAAATACAAGTGTATCCTGCCACTGATAGCCAGTGGCAACGAGGTGAGTCCAGCAGAGTTACTTTGAGATTATAAACGGGAGATGAGTCTTTATCGTGTCATTTTTAACGTCACAAAATATCCCTTCTGTTCCAGGAAGAAGAAAAGGACTATAAAGGTCCTACTCCAGGGGAACTGCTGGAACCTCTCTTTAAGCAAAGCAGCTGTTCCTATAGAGTATGTTACTTCTGTGTTGGTATTAAATGCTAATTAAAAGGTTGTGTGTAATCCAGTCCGTGTCAAGGTTTGGGTAGTAAATCAAGTACTAGTTCAGTTTGAAATAAGGTCTCTGCAACTTTATATCTTAATATTGCAGATAAAATTCTGTATGATCGAAGATATCAGGATTCAGAGAAATTGTGTTGCTACTGTAGCAATTGGAAAACGTGGATTTTACTGACAATTTTACCTATTTATTTATTTATTTTCCTCTTGTTTTATCTGTGTGAGAGTCAAGGAAGCTTTGCCTGGTGTGTTTCTTTGGAACATCACCGAAATGTTTGGGGAGCACTGAGAGCCCTCACTGTGCTCTTGTTTTTGAGGGTGCCCCCAGCATGCCCAGACACTTGCTTGGGTTGCAAGCCCAACGTTTTTGGGGGGTTCTGTGGTGTGTAAATATATCTAAACGTAATTTTTTTAAATGTATTTCAATTTTAAGATTGAGTCTTACTGGACTTACGAGGTCTGCCACGGCAAACACATCCGTCAGTACCACGAGGAGAAGGAGACGGGGCAGGTGGGCTGCTCACAACCCCTTCCCCCTTGGCTCAACTCCTCCAGAAGGCTGGAATTCCTTCAAAAAGCAGGGAGAAACAGTCACTGACACTTGTTTTACTTTCTTTTGATTGCAGAAAATAAACATCCAGGAGTACTATCTGGGGAATATGATGATGAAGAACCCGTTATCGGAACCAGGTGTGTCTCACATTATTATATTTTGCTGATGGTAATGAATTGTGTGGGTTTTAATTATTCCTGGCTGAGAAATACAACTGTAGAAAACTGATTCCCAGTGCAATAGAGTAGAATTTTGTAGATTGCTTGGGTTGTTTTCCCAAATAAATAGTTTTCAGTTAATTCTTTTTGGCACCTCTCCTTGCATCCATCCTGTCAGTTTTGCTGTGCTAATTCATCAGCTGCGTTAATCTGCAATAATTAGTGCCAGGGAAAGAAAACAGAGGATTTAAGACACGGAATCAGTGTATGACAGCCCAGTCTTTGGCAATACACCCTTTTATTTGGGGGGGGAGAAGTGTTTTTCAGACTGTGAGCAGAGGGCAGAGCACGTAGCACACCTTGAGCTCTGCTGCTTCCTAACACAACAGAATCTGCAGACCCAAACACTTACCTTTGCTGGTAGATTTGATCCTTGAACAGTTTGGGAGTCTTTTTTTTTAGGGAACCTGGCGCAGATCTTCAGAAATACTCAGGTGCCTAAGGTGGGACTCAGGTGGGAATTGAGTTGCTGAGCTACAAACTCAAAGAGCAGTTTAGAGGAACTGATTTTCAGAGCACTTTTTGCCTGTAAAATAGTCCAAAGAAGTCTTAAAAAGCCAGAGACTAAGCATTCATTCATCAGGGTTGATGGAAAGAATAGAAAAAAACATCCTCTAGGTTGGGGTTAGTGTTTAATTCTAGGCTGGTGGGTAACAGGTGTTTTCCTGTTCCAGCGTTTTCCTAAAAGTGATTAACTGAGCACTGCAGTCTTTTGGAGGGGGTTTAGTGCTATTAATCCCATTCCTGGATCCCTGCCTGCAGCCCTCAGTTAGGTCTTAGTCCTGGAAAAAACAGGGCCTGAGAAATGCACTGTTTGGCGTTTCTGTGGGAGTGAGTCACAGGGATCACCGGTGGTGCCTCGTTCTCTGGGGTGCTGCTGCACAGAACACAAGATGTGTCATTCAAGTCACAGTTTTGTGGGGCTAGGTGCTGAAATGATGTGGGATGGTGCTTCAGGTTGTCTCAGCTGAGTCCTTCAGGCTGCTGTCCCTCTGCCCTTCCTGCTGAGGTGGCAGATGGTGTCCTTTCCCTGCTTCCTGTGCAGCAGCTCACGCTCCTCCCCGAGCACCTGCCTGTTCCCTGTCCAGTTCCCTCCCTTCCCAAACAGGAGCAGCAGCAGTGACGTGTTTTCCAGCCCTGCCTGTGGTGTGAGGGCTGAATTAGGCCTGTCCTGCCAACCCCAAATTGTTTTAAGACCGTGCTGACTTGTATTTTGCTCTGGACCCCAGATCACTGGTTGTCTCCTTTCTTTCCTCTTTTGCACCTGCAAGTGGCTCTTGGCAGTGC